CTCTGAATATCTGAGCGTTACAGAGAATCCCCTTTGAAGTCCACATATCTTCAAAAGATGATACACTATCATATCCAAAATCCATTTTATTTTCTCTGAATTTAAAATTGGCAAACTGGGTCAGACTCTATACCAACTTAGTGAATGCTGAAATGTGTCCTGCAGAGAACCTGAAAGAGCTGAAACTTTCCTTCACAATACCAAATTTATAAACATGTAAAGGTTAATATAAAAATTGATCTACGGGTACAGGCGATGATTTGTAACAGATAATTTGCAATACAAATGTTGTTCACAAAGACCTGTACAAAGGAAGTCAAATTTTAAATGGAGAATCAATGAGGGTGTAATAGATAACATCACAAATTATTACATTGTACAACTATTAACATTATATACTTATTGACAAATACATTTACATATCTAATATACAAACAAGGAGTGTGGAATGATACTGTACACTTCCTCCAGCGCACATATTAGCCAGTCATTTTAATTTCATTTCCCTGAAAAGAAAGAAGACATAATGAAAGTTAATGAAAGAGTAAAACCTGCTTACAACAAAACTCCAGGGGACCAAAATATTTTTAAATTCCATTTAACATTAGTGCATACCTCTATTGTAAGATAAATATATATAAAGTACTGCATGCAATTTCAAAGCCTGAGAAATCTCTTCCATGCCTCCAGAAAGGAAGAGTTAGTATTGCTAGGGTAAGCTGAAATGCCATACTGTATTTACAGACATGATGGATAGATGGTGAATGAAGCGTGGCAGAAAGCAGAGTCAATAAATATTTACGATACAAGAAATTAAGAAAGCAATGGGAGGTCGCCATTTTGCTTGATAATCTTATTAGTACGATAAAGGATTAAGTGGGATAAACATAACGCAGAAAGAGGAAACATTTAAGCAAAAATAGATAGGATTATGAGAAACAATGGAAGATAATAAGGATATATTATCTCTTTAACAGAAACACAGTCTATGCTTAAATAAATAGAATGTTCTGAATTTAACTTACCCACTCTCTTGCCATCAACAATACTGTTCTATTTGATAGTTTTGGTCCTATCAAGGGATTTATCTGTGACAAGTAGCAACAAAGCCAACTGCAACAATAAAAACAAATACATTAATCTAAACGGAATCCCAAAGCTATGTAAAAGGATAAGCAGAAACGCTAACCATTTCTAGAGTCACTTTAACACATACAAGATCATGTACTACAAATCATCATAAAATTTGTTATACACATGCACATTATAAAAACTAAACTAAATTAGGAATATGGATGTCATATTTGATGTTGGGCCATGCAGTCGCATAACAGGTGTTTACTGCAACATCAGGGTGCTCACCTTGATGACGGAGAGGCAGTAAGCTCCTAAAAAATGTCAGTGAATTTCAATGAGATTGCATGGTGCAAAATCCCATAAGACAGTCAACAGTTTAGTTCAGTTATAATTTAATTTGCATGTACAGAATACGACACTACACTTTATATGAAAGACCATTTACCAAGGGACCACACAAGCTCTGAACATTAAATGTATAAAAGTACATGCAATCCTTGTATAAATCACTACTTACAACAACCAACATGTTGCTGCTGTCAACATTAAAACCACCTGCAGAATGCTGTAAAAAAGAAAATTTATCAATTTTCATGTACAATAATATTCCAGGGACACAATATATTAATTTTCCTACAATATGCAAAAGAAACAATGATTTCAAACACAGCATATATAACAGTAAATATAAACTGCTTACTGATTGAAATACAAATCAGGTTCAAGATCTGGAGTTCAAAGGGGTCACAGACACCAAATTTGAGTACTCGTTAGATACTTCAAAAGCTGAACTTTCGAACTTCTAGACTCACCCTCTATTTGGCCCCTTCGGCACCACAAATGGTAATACTATACCGACAATTCCCCATAGTATAGTGAATACTAAAATTGGAACAACTGAAGCTCCCATTATTCCAAGCCTCTAACACTTTACTGCACAAACACATCACATGACTTTAAGCACGTTCAAGAATATTCCGTCATGGGTCATGACGTTCAAAACCTCGGATGATATAAACGGACGTTTAACATGAAATAAAATCTTACGGTATCAAACGATTACTGGAGTGCGTTCGTTAATTAAAAATATGTACGTTAAATAACAACACCAATAATGATAATGATGAATTGCACACAATGTACATATTAATTTCCCAATAGTTGACACCACAAAGAACACCAACACTGAACGGGCAGCGTTTTTCACTAGTTGTCAGTTTTTGAGCTGACCCTCTGTAGTCATAATATCCATGGTCTTAACTGGCATATCTCGAAGGTCATTGGTAGATGGGGAAAGTCGTTAAAATAGTTTTGTTGTGATTAACCTATAAAGACCAAGAAGAAATTAATACTGGTATTACTCTAAATTTTAATGTCATATTCGGTTCCCTAACCTGTGCTTGTAGAAGTGATTAGTGTATTTAATGTGTTTTCGCACCCAACCCTGAATGGCCTTTTCTATATTTTAACATCATACGAACATTTGAGGTTATTCTAATGGCAGTTGAGTGCATGTCTCTTAATACGGTGCTTTACTATTTTTGTGGCAATTGCAGAATTTGTAATTGATGCAAAACTGACAAGAGTGGTGGAGTTATACAACAGCCATCTTTATACCATTTACTTATATGTATGCGTATACTTTAACTTGCGTTAGGTTTAGTGTTGTGGTGTATAAATACATTACCTGCATTAAAACAGACATAGTTTATAAAGGAGATTTAGATTAAAGTGTGATGGCACCAGGACAAAATGAATTTACACGAAGCAGCAAAGATTAATTTACCTATTCAGAAAATGTAGTTGATTCGATTTATTATGGGATGGGGCAATAACTACAGAATTTAGCATGAAAAAACTTGGTAGCCCTTTGTGTGTTGACCCTTCAGGTTGTCATCATTGGTTTTTTACTGTACTTGATAATTTCATTGTGTTAAAACTTCTGCTATAAAATTTGATTCTTAAAGAATCCTCAAGATTCACCACTCCTCCAAACTGTATGTTGGTTATTTGTTTCAGAAAACTAGACTGAAATTGATGTCACCATTTCTTATAATTCTTTAAGATGCCTCTAGTTTTCTTTTTCAGGTGACCAGAATTTTGTGTGGCTTCTGGCCTGCTATTGTATAAAAAATACTATTTTCAGTGATATTACATTAATAAGATGGCTCAACAACAAGGAAGAAGCATATTGGCTATGATATTTAGAAATTTTATACAGTCACTAAAACCAAGAAAGATTCGAGGAGACCTTGTTGGAACAGATTATTTTGGAAACAGATATTTTGAAATTCCAGCTAATCCACAGATAGGAAAAAGAAAACCATCAAGGTGGTTTGAACCAAAAGTGAAGGAAGATTTTGACCAGGAAATCCCAGCTGAGTGGGAAGCATGGTTGAGAGGAAGGAGAAGTATTCCACCAGAAGAGGAAGAAGTTCTGAGGAATCTGGCAGCTATGAAACAGAAGAAGGAGAATGCTAAAGAAATTGCATTAAGAGAAACATCTGCCAATGAACAAAACATTCTAGAACAGGAGATAAAAGGAATGGAGTCATTTCCAAAACATGATGAATATGAAACCATGCCTGGAAAAGGGCAGGAAAAGAAATAATGTTATTATTTGTTTGCTTATGCTACTGTCATGACTTAATTATCTAAATGTGTAAATAAATTCTGCATTGGGTTTCACTTATCTTAACCTGTAATTTTCTTAAAAGTAGATGACATATACTCTCTCCCCCTTTATGACCATCATATAACACAACACTGAGCAAAACTGAAACCTGCCAGACATTCAAACAAGTTTAAAAATAAAATATTTACCAATATTTTTGAACAGACGAGTCGCATCTATAGTACCTGCATAAACATAACTTCTTCCCAAATCATAATCTTCTATTGCTTGAACACTGCAAGTGACCATTATGCTTTGCTAGGAATGTCATCATACATTCAAAAACAAGCACAGACATCTACGAAGTCACTGCCAAACTTTGAAAAAAATCGAAGTTTTTTGGTTACTAAAAAAGTTGTACATCAGGTATATTTCCTGCGGTACTGTAAAAATGTCCTGTCTTATTCTTTCTGAGCATCATGGAAGATAAAAAAAAACTTCACATCAGGCCTGTGGAAAACCGAGATTGTATTCGTTTTCTTCATTGGCACTACACAGTATAATGCAAACAAATGAAAACTATAGATAATGTAAGTACACACAATCAGCTATTATGAGGCAGAAACACAAAATTGAAATTAGTTTGGTGTCAACAATTTCATTTATTAAGTTATGCGATGAAACATTCAGGATTTGCCTGACATGTACATTGTACATGAGTGTACTTCATTGATTATTTCATCCAATGTTTGATACCTGGAATATTTATACAGTGAAACCTCTATCCATCGTTCCCGGAACTATCGTTTTCCCGGATGCATCGTCCGTTTTGTTCGGTCCCGAATACATCCCATATAAAATAATGTTACATTTTCCCGCTTCTATCGTTCCTCGAACTATCGTTTTATCGCATCAAAAATCTTAGTCCCGGCCCACAATGTTCCCGCAATGATCGTTTCTGAGAAATTGTAACGAAATTTACGTGATATTTTTAGAATTTAATTCCGAAAGACGCACAATGTTTTTGGAATACACAGTAG